ACCATTTTTTTGATGATCTAATGGAGGTAGGAAAACGTTCCACTTAGACGGAATTTGGGTATTTGAATAGCCATATCGTCATTTTTGTGTCATATAAAATATATTTTATTGAGGAATTAAATCGGCTTTTTTTACAACACTCTATGTATCACTAGAAGTTGCAATGGTAATGATAGCTTGTTTAAAAACAAAGAAATGTTATTAGTCGCCAATAAGTTGATTTACAATTTATTTTGCATCTTTTTCATCACTTAGTACTTGAAAACTCTTTCATTAGTGACACTGGTTGAATATAATTTAGTTTAAATCCTTTTAGTTGAAGATGCAACATTTTTTCATGGCCAACTGCGAACAAAAATCAAAGATAATTTTTTGCTAAAAATGTATTATAATAATTTGTTACAAATATATATTTTTTAGATAAGAAAAAAACAAGCTTTTTAAAAACGACATAGCCATCTATGTCATTTAAAAAAATACAAGTTTATTTTATTACAGCTAAACAAACAACTGAAAAAAATTGTTAACTACATTATTAAATTCTACGTAAAAAGTGTCTGTATAACGTCTTTATTTCAAATCTGTGTCTTCTATAATAACGAAGATATGAATTTTTTTAGATTTCGCTAAAATGTCAATTTTTGTCTATAAGTCGAAAACAAAAGACTATAGCGGGATGCGGTTTTAACCAATATTATTTTCTCAAAAAATGAGCTCCAGAATGTATTACTCGTTTTTGGCTAAACCTCTTAGTTTCGGAGATTCCCTATTCTGACATCCAAAATGCAGCACCCTGTACAGGGTGACAAAAACGAGTGATACACTCTGGGGCTTATTTTTTGAGAAAATAATATTGGTGAAAACCGCATCTCGCTATCGTCTTTTGTTGAAGACTTCAGAATTTATTTTTGCATCTAAAGACAAGTAAAAAAGAATCTATTTTAAAACTCATTTTTTTACTACAGATGACTTTTTGTTGGTTTCTGGAATTATGTTTTTCAATTTTACAACTCCAATATGTTATTTTTTGTTTAATAATTATCAAACACCGTGTATACGTGTGGGAAAACATCTATTAATTTTAATTTACCTTTGTTTAAAAGATAAAAGGACCGGAAATTTGGTCGAGATCATCTTAAATTTTTTTATTGCGATTCTTTTTTGAGTCCCCTGTTAAAAAACATTTTTGATGTAATAACTTGTTGATCTTAAATAATTGCTCGTAAACTTTTCAATAAAATATTTGTCTTTGAGAATAAGTATAGCAAGTTTTTAGCTGGAACTGTGTTGGGGTATATTTTTTATTATATTTGCAAGACATAGAAGCTCTGTTTGCAAGAATTTCAATTATTATTCGAAGACAGAGCTGGGGTTTCCGCAAGCACGTTCCAATTAAAAGTTTGAAGAACTGTCGAGTCAAATACACACCGGTAACCATAAAAATGTTGTAAAATCGCAGAACAGCGTTGGTATAAAACGTTGTCGGATCTCATTAAGGCCAATGGAAAACAGTAAAATCCAAATCCCGGCGCGCATGAAACTAGTAACGAGCCAAGTTCGAAATGTTTCGTCGTCCGTGTATAATGGCTCCAAACATCCGGAAGCGGCCTCTATCCCATCCTACATAGAGGATAAGGACATGTGTTCTAGTGGAATCATTTTATATACAGCAGAGCAGAGCACAGCTCATCCTCATCCCGTGCCGTTGCAGCGTCCCCGGGGACCCTGCGTTCGGAATCATCTGGCGAACCGAACCGGGGATTCGCCGCCAACTAAACTATCGGAAAGCTATTGGGAACAGGGACGGATTTACTATACTTAAGCGCCCAAAGCTTAATATCGAACTGATATTTCGAACCGAACAAAGAACCGACATTTTCACACCTCAAAAATTCTTAAATCAAGCGTAGTTTTCAGAATTTTCAATTTGCATTTGGATTAAATCTGCATTAAAAAGAGTGTTTTTATTTGGTAAAATCCACCCCTGTTCTTTGCAAAACCTCATGAACTATAGCCTCCAGGGCTGACGAGTGAATGCTGGAAGCAGATGGGAAAAATGGGAAAGCTTGTAGCTTCTCTTGAAGGGATTTAGAAAAATATTTCCCATTTCCAGGCCGCTGTCACAGCCTCCCTCTCCGTCTTCGTCTTTTCCCCAATAAAAAGAATGGAAGCTATTAAATCGGAGATATACTGTTACTGAGACGTTTCACAAAATGATTAGTGTGAAGTAAAGCACAATAAAAAAGCAAGAAAATCGTTCGAATCTCTCTCGTTTCATTCTTTACTTGTAACCGAAGCAGAAGAGAAAAATAGGAGCCGGATCGATGTTGAGTGTTGACGGGATTTAGAAACTTTTAACGAATATGCTTTGGGAAAAGCGATACAATTTTGTGGCTTTCCTTTCGATTTATTTCGGGGTCTCTGATCAATTTCATATCATGAACACGAACGAAAGAAATGAAACGTTTGCACTTTGTACAAAAAACAACGTTCGCGAACCTCCCCCGAAATTGATATGGAAGCACAAAGAACTAACTTTAATTGAATCTTCCAACGAGATTTATATTTACGATTCTTTGGTAATACTTTATGATTGCTGGTTCGGAAAATTTGCATCTGAATACATTTTGTATTCAAATTAAAAGTCGCCAGAGGAGACAAATCCCCAATTTCTGTGATATTGTTTTTTATTTTTTTAACAAAATATTTTTTTTAAATGTAAAAACTCGTTCATCGACGCTCTATGGTTATGCAAATCCTCCAAATTAAAAAAAAATGTTAAAAGTTTATGATTTGTCTACTTTCAACTTTTTCATAATTAATTTTTTGTGTCCTTGATCAAAAAATTCATTTTTTGTACTAATTTTTTTAAATTTTATTTCTTAAAAAATTACACAGTAAAAATTACATTTATCCCCAAACGTCACAAAAATGACCACTTTTTGTGACTAAAATAGTAAGTAAGTTTTTTATTTTAATTTTAGAAAACGTGCTTACTATGATAACGAATTTATTAAAAAAAAATTATTTATTTTATTTTATGCGCAAATGTCACAAAAGTGATTTTTTTATGACTAAATAACACAAGTAAAAGTTTTACCTTTCAGCCATGGAGTAATAATTTTATTTTTATGACTAAGCGTTGTTATGTTACCTCTCGTCTGAAGAGACATTTTGCACTACCAACTGCACTATTTAAAGTAATAAACACTTTTGAAAATTTTAACACAAATTCCGATTTTGATGCGTGATGTAAGTTTATTACTACCACTTTTACTTCTAATAACATAATATACTATTTTCAAGTGTTTTTCTTGTTTTATTTAGATTTTATAATTTTAAGTACAAGTTTTTGTTTTTTTAATAGCAGAGACGGCGTACTCGTATTAGTCGAAAAAAATTTTTAAAGATAAAAATTAATGACAAAAACTTTAATAATAAACATATAATAAGAAATATTTTAAGAATGGATTCCAAAACTTATTTAACAAACCTTTGGATTCTAATAACATTAAATTTTCATGTTTTTAAATCTTTAGTTTATCAAGTTTTTAGCTTCTTTTTAATCTTCAGATTTCTTCAGTGTATAGATTTTTGTAATAATAGATTGTATTTTGGAATTTTTTTCCGATTCTTTAATTGTTGGATTCTTAAATTCGGGTATTTTTAAAAGTCTAGGTTTTTAAGGCTCCTCAACGCCTTATCTTCTTAAAACTTAATTTTTACACTTTTTCAATCATCTTTCATGAGGTTAATAATTCTTCAATGTTTTGCTCCTTCCTTTGAACATTTAAAATATATACACATATTTTTTAACAAATTATATAATAATAAATAATACATTATTCCTTATATTTAAATGTTTTTCTTATTTTATTTAGATTTATTGGTTTTAAGTAAAAGTTTTTAAAACACCAAAAACTTCAATCATAAAAATGTAATATGGATTCCGAAATTTATCTAACAAACTTTTGGATTCTAATGACAGCAATAACATTAAATTTTCAGGTTTTCAAATCTTTGGATAAAAAATTCTCAGATTTCTTTAGAGTAGATTTTTGAATTACATAATAGGTTACTGTATTTTTTATTTCTTTTCCGATTTTTATTTTTTGCATTCATAATTTGTATAATTTTTAAAATTTGAGGTAAAGTTTTCAACTCCTTAGCTTCTCAAACTTCCATTTTTTTCATGACTGTAAAATACTTTAAAATAATTAATTTTTTGACTTTTTAAAATTTTGTTTTTTGTAAACTCTTAGATTATAATATCAATAGATTTTCAAGTTTTTAAATTCTTAGCTTATTTTTTTACTATTTTGTATCACTTTGCAATCAATATCAATATTTTTAAATTCTTAGCTCTGTATGTTTTTAGATTCTATTTTACACAAAATTATTTTAATAATACCGTGCGATCGAAAAAAAAATTAGAGTAGGCGGTGATTATAATCCTTCAGATGGCAATCCTGATTTTTGACATCAAATGTCATCCGAAACTTTGACAAGTTTGCGTTTTATGCATTTCGAGTGAAATAATGTTCACTTTAGAGCAGAAAATTTTTATTGTTGCAAGGTATTACAAAAATGCTATATCTACAAGACGAAAATAGTAAATGGTCATTATCACTTCCAGTTTCTGTGAAAAATTTATAGCAAAAGTTGTTGCCAACTGTAGAAGATTAATCGTCGCCTACTCTAATTTATTTTCTTTCGATCGCACGGTAGTAGTAAACAGCTACCAGTAACGTCATTTTATCATAAATAATGAGGTATGTAAAACTTTTGCATTAGTTTTTAAAATATCTGCCATGCATTCTACTATTAAAGTCACCGTTGAGTTTGACATTAAGTTGGCAACACTAAATATTGTAGGAGCAGAAGATGTGACACTTGTCAATTTTCAGATCTTATTGCATTGCTCAATGTTGCCAACTTAATTTCAAAGTCGCAGACCACTTCGACTGGTAGTTTAATTGAATGGCATTTGTCCCACTCACCTGTAAATCAGTTTTCTCCTAACGGACCTTTTGAAAAAGCCCGAACAGCCGTTGCAGGCCAAAATCCCATAATGCTTCCCGGAGCTGGTGTCCCCACACACGACACAGATTAATCCCGGCGTGCCTTTCTTCGTCGGGATGCTCCACGGCGGGGGCGGCGTTCTCGACGCTTGCACCAAAGTTTGCGAATTGGGCAAGCAAAGTGCCAAAGGATGATCGCCCTCCGAGCTATAGCAATCGACGCTGCCCGGTGATGTTCTCAAATCTGTCAATCAAAAGAGTATTTCAGGTCGAGTTGCTTCCACTTTTCAGATCTAAGTGCTCCCCAGCGAATTGCTAGAGTATCGCCTTTATAAAATCACTTACAGTCAAATTGATATTAGGGTATTAATCAAGTGTGCTTGATTATCATCTGAATAGGACAAGTTGGAACCCATATGTCAAAGTTTGGACACCCCAATATTTACCAACGCCCTCCAATGTGACGCTTTAATTCTAATTACTAAATACAGGAAGGGCAAATAAACAAACTTTTTACTTCTAAATTTTTTCTTGCAAGATCTTCAAGTTTGATCATACTGTAATTGTAATGTTTACAACATTTGGAATTACATTATCTTGTAATCAGTTATTATTAGGGGTGTAAAATCCGTGCAGTGTGTAATAGATTTTTAATTTGCTTGACCACATGGTACGATGTAGCGATTGAAGGTCCCTCGACTTACCCTACCCTAACCCAACTTTCTATCATAATGCCACCACTTTATCCCCGTATAATACAAATTAATACACTGGTATTAAATAGAGACACTCTGTAATCCCTTGATAGTTTTGGCATCTTTGTCTTTTTCGTTGGAGTGGATATTTTGTGTTTCTTCTTTTGTTAGCTTGTCTAATAGTTCTGTTAGAAGGGCATGATACAAGAGCCAAAAATATTTTCTAGCACTTTACATATGGCACAAATTTTGGGATCTGAGGATGGGGGAAGGTGACGTTGTTATGTAAATAGAGGTTTATCGGGATGATTTTTGAATTATGTTTCATGTAAATGTGAAAAAAATTGTGTGCATTGAATTTAGTAAATTGTTTTACTTCGACAAATACAGTATAGTGTGCTGGAAATAGAATAGAATTTTTTTTTATTTTCTACTACAATTTTAAAAAAAATTGTTTCTTGACTAGGTTTTTAGATTTTTTCACTTACTTAATAACTAATACTTAATAATTTATAAATACATTACGAGTATTTCACACAATTTTGTGTTATTTTTAGTAGGTAATCAGTTCTTTTTAAGAGAAATTTTAGCTATAGATTATCATTATTATTAGATTAATAAAAATATACATATTTTTCAAAATATTTTTTTACTTAATTATTACCAATTTTAATGTCTGGAGTAATTATTTCTATTAATTTATAAATTTAAAGACGTAAACTGACAAGCAGTTTTTAGACGTTTTAATACTTCCTTTACTTTATTACACGGTAATCAAAAAATGTTGGATAAGCTCGTTGGTTTCTTATGGTAAATTTTCTAAAAAATTAAAAAAAAAATAATTAAAGAATTTTGTAAGTTGAAGTTTAGAAACTATTAGGCTTCGAAAATTTGTTTGTATAACTTGGACAAGTAATTTTTTATTTAAATAAAATGTTAGGTGTAATTTACCTAAAATTATATCTGAAAACATTGGATAAGAATTATTTTAATAATTTTTTTTGTTTATTCTACTTTCATTATTTTTGCTACTACATTACAACTTTGCCGGCTTAGTAAAATTTATGCTCAAAAAATAAATCAGAAGATTTTTTTTTTAATTTCTTCCAGACTTATCACTGTCTATGATAACGGATTAATTGGAAAAAAATATTATTTATTTTATTTTCTCCCAACAGGGAATAGACTGATGCTTCATTCTTTCGTTTTTGACAATAATCTGGTACTTTATTTTCTTGAAAATAAAAACCGATTTTTACTCTTAAAATTACAATTGAATAAACCGAATATGGGTGGTTTATACATTTTTTTTTTTGGAGAAAATCAATTTCTCAAACATCAAAGTTTAGTAGTGAAGCTAGTAGTAGTAAAAAAAAACTGTACCTGTTTATTTTCGTTGCTCAAAAAATTAAAAACAGATGCGTTTATAATCTTATTTATTTTTACTTTAAAACTTCTAGAATTTTTAATAAATTGGAACAGAAATTGCTTCAAAAAGAACTAAGAAACATTAATTAGTTTATTTTTTTTTAACCTTGTGATCTTAACTTAAGGAGATTGAAACAAGAATATTATTTATTTTATTTCATTTTATTTTTATTTTTAAGAATTTGTAACATGTACAGTGTCAAGTTGGACTTTTTTAATTTTAAATTTTTTAATAGCTTCAAGCGTTTTCTAAAAGTTTCGTTGAGTTAGTCATTTAGTATTCTTTAATTATGTTTTTATGTTATTTGTTTTCTATTATAATTTTATTATTACGTAATGTAAAGGATATTACCGTTAAATAAAGTTATTAAAGTTATTATTAAAACTCATTTTGTACTTAATATAACAATAAAATAAACATTATTTTCAAAAATAAACAGTAATGCTTTATTAAAATATTGTCTTTGGCTAACCCAAAATTTTTCAACAACAATTATTGTTCGAATTTTAAACAATTAAGAAAATTAAGGATATAACAAGTAACAGCAAAAAACTTACAAATTTTTTTGTAATAAAAAATCGGTAAATAAATTGCTTTAAGTTTTTTTTGCTAGGATGCTAATTGTGTGGTTTGATTAAATCATCTTCTTAATAATAAGAACTATAGTATTGTTTTCAAACAGAGAATAAATTAACAATGTTTTTAAGTATTAAGAAAAGCACTGAAGACTCTGAGAAAACAAATTATGATATCCTGAAATACTTAACAAACTATCTGTTTTTGATACTGTGCAGAAATGTTGCCAAAAATATATACTGGTTAGCTAAAAAGTATGGTTACAGCCAAATATTTTCAGAACGATTTAGTAGAGCACTTTGAAATTTGGGCAACAGTTTACCTATTTTTTGGTTAAAGTTCAGGCGACAAAAAGCTAACGATAGATAAAGACAACATTTCTAAGGCTAAAAAAAATTACATTTTTCAAAATTTAATTACTTCGATATTTTTTTTAAATAAGGTATGCATGTGTTACTCACAGCACAAAAAATACTCTTCTTAATATATTAAATTTGACCCTTCTTGCTATTTAAAATAATTCAAGTTAGCCTTGTATCTCCAGAACAAATGAAGATAGAAGTTCGATAAATATCTGAGGCGATGGAATTTAAATACTTTTAAGCATATACCAAATTTTAATATGTTTAGATAAATAGTTTTTATAATAATATTATCAATATATTTTTGCCCAAAATTGCTCACCTTTTGCACTCATCTTAAAATTTTAATTTGTTTGGTTTGGTTAGTTTAGTTTACTGCAAAGTTAATTAACAGACAACTAATTTATTTTTTACTGTTATAAATATGAATGAGAAACAGATCCCACTCTTGTTGAAACTTACTGAAAAAATGCTCAATTTTTATGATAGCCCGGCGCCTCCGCCACAATTGGCAATTAACCTAAAAATCTTGAAATTACGATACCGTTAGGGTGATGCGAATGATGTTCCGGTGAACAAGGCTGGTGCAGGGTTGGCAGAATCGAACCTGCTTGTGACACTGAACAATCCATGGCCGCCGTCGATTGCAGTGCAGAAGAACCAGACAAAACTTTTAGGTATTTCTCAACTTATTTACCGTTCATTTATCTCAAAACAACACAATTTGGATAGTCTTATAATAAATCACATACAATTTAATTAATTTCTTAATTCTTGCACTAAACAATTTAAACTTAAATAAAATGAAAGAACTGTGTATTTTAGTTTCACAAGTTGCAAAATTCACTAAAACTTGTAATGTTCGCTAATTGCCTCTTATCAGTGATTGCAGTGGTCACTTGATGTTTGCCAACGCCGATGGTGAATCGAAGTGAGCGATGTTACGACGTTAAGGGGTAACATGTATTAGGTGGTGTATCATCCATGGGCGGGATCAGAGCTCGCTACCCTGTGTTTAACTTCTGTCGCAGCACGCGGCTGCGCTTTGCACCCCCTCTCACTATCAATTCTTTAAACCACACTGTTCTAGCGCCACTGATGAGTGTTATCACTTCTGAGTTTTTAAAAATTTCGGTTTTTATTTTTTTTTTCAAGTAGTTTATTTTTGTAATGATTGTCGGCACGCCTAGGGTGCTTAAAGAGCTGGTCATGACGTAGAGGGGTTGATTTGTGAACCGTGGTGGTTGGTAGGACGACTGTGCTATTGGCTGAACCGCGCTAATCCCATTGGTCTGACGTGCTCTTTACTCGCATTGGCGCCCCTCCATGCTATGCCAAATGACCTCTGCCCTCAGCTCCGGGGACAGGAAGTTTTACTCCCCTTCGGGCCGCGAATGACAAATATGGACTTGATAAATGTTGTTGCTTTGTTCGAAAAATCTAACGCTTTCGATAAGTAATTAAACTACAGGCAGATGATAACTGGTAACTCAACAAGTAAATATTGATTTCAATTATTTTAAATGCATGAAAAAACATTGTGGGGGAACAATTTTAATAACATACAGGGTGCTTTAAATAGTTTTTGCTATCACTCGAATAGTTTTTAGAACCATTTAGTTACTCTTAAAATTGCTAAAAATGTTTTTGAGTGGTTACGGTTTTTGAATGATGCATTTGCTATTAATTTTTTTATTAATCAAGAAAGATTATTTTGTATCTTAAGTGGAAGAGACAAGTAACTTTAAACATACATGTGTTTACATTATTAAAAATGAATAACAATTTTACAAACGAAAAACTAAAAAACTCCAGTCAAACTGTTTTTAATTTAAAAAAAATTCAAAAAATAAAAGAGTGTTTTGTTGGAAAGTTTTCAAATAATAAATATATAAATAATAAACAATATAAATAATTATAATATCAAATAATAAATGATGCACCCTATCTGCCGCTAAAACGGGTTCTTCTTTAGTCTTAAGATTGTTTTCAATAATTGGCAACATCACATTAAATTTTTTTTTAATTATACGTCTTAAATTTTTTAGTGCAAATATTGCAGCGTTGCCTATTTCTAAAAGTTTTTACATATTTTGGAAAACTACCTAGTAACATCAAAATATAAAAGCGTACCTCTTTTTTATAAATCTTTAATCTATTACAACAAAAAGCAATTTTTTGGATCACTGTATATTCAATAAAAAATGTATTCATTTATTATCATTTTCAAAAAGAAGATAAGTGAAATATGAAATACAAAACAATTTGGTAAAATAGACATCTATTTTTTAACGTTTTATGGCTAAACACCAAACTAGAATAAACGAGAAAAAAAAACAAAATTGTAGTAGAGTTGAGTGGCATCTAATTTTTTTAAAAAAGAAGAGGAGAAAAGTTAACGTGCTTACGTAGAAAGAAAATTAAATACTTCATTTTGATGGGTAACAAAAGATTTATTTTTAAATTATTTTCAGAAAATTGTTTACTCGTTTTTTACTGCTGGTTGAGAAGTTTTAGCACTGGAAAGGATGTGGTTAAGTAATTTTTATTTTTATAATGTTTTATCTTGTTGATTAGATTTGATTTTTTTTCTTAAAAAAAACTTTTTTTTGACATTTTTTCTATGGTTTTCTATATTATAGGTGTCACTTGGGAGTTAAATGTTTATATGAAGATAATTTCTATTTAAATAAATTGTGGACTATTGCTTATTCAGTTATTCAGTCTTCGAACAAACAAACTGTCACGCTACAATTCTGGACTTGTGATAACCACCAGATTTTTAATTTGTTTGCATCTAAACTAGAGAAAATTTTAAAAAAAGTTTGTTTTTGGGTTTTTTGTGTACACAAAAAATTTCTAAGCAAAAAAAAATTCCATACTTGTGTTGATATAAATGCTATATTTTCTTTCCTACAGGGAAAAAAAAAACAAAAATAAAATGAAATACTAATCTTTACTCATAAAATAAACTTGAATTGAATGAATTGATTCTTTTGAGTGTTTTTTGATAAAAACAAACTACTTGATGTCGATTATTGCTCTTTGCAACTGAATGAACTCATTATTTTGTAAATTATTTGACATTATTTGAGCATTTGACAAAATCATTTTCTTATGAATGAATTTAGTCTGTATGAAGAAACGTTTTGTATATACCTCTGGAATAAACATTGTAAATTCCTCGAATGAAAACTTAAATGTTGAGGATTAAAATAACTTTTTGTTATTTTGATATACAGAGTGTTTTAGAACTACGCCTCAGAGAAAAATGCCATGTAAAGAAAGATACCAGGAATATAAAAAAATGTAATTTTTTTGTATACAAATTTCGAAATCAGAGGAGTTTAAATTTTTCACTTTGACTCTATTTATTTCTGTTACAAAAATAATTTTTCATGTTTTTTTTTCTGCAGAATATTAGAAAATGAAGCAAGGAAGCTGTATCCTAAACTGTAACTCTATTTAATGTTATTTGTGGGTTTTATTGGTAAAATTTTTGTAAATAATTATGACAAAACATATACATAATCATCAATAACATTACATAGACATAAAAAAATGTCAAAAAATAAATATAATTTTTGTTTGACAGATAGTATTTTTTCCATGTTCTTGGTATGTATCTTATCTAACTTAGAATTTTTCTCTGGGGCAAGGGTTCTGAAACATCCTGTATAAATAAATATTAGCGTTTTTGAAATGAGGGTACATAAGTATAACTGAAGATAAAATTAATCTAATAATAATCTAGCATGAAATGTTTTGTTTACATAAATATTCAATTAAATATGCAGATTTTGGTACTTTGATTATTTATAACGTGGTTATAAATTAAATAGAAAATACCAAGCTTAAATTATTTTAACACAATTCAATTGTAATTTATTTTAAATAACTTTGAATGCAATCCTACACGAAATCTAATCATAACGTGATATTTTATTTTGTAAAACATTATTGTTAACTTTGTAAATATAAAAGGAAAATTTTGATTGCAAATTAGTTTAACTTTTCAGTACTTTTGTCAATTTTTTGCAGGAATAGTTTCAAACAATTATGCATGCATTAAGCTAAATATTTATCTAAAATATCTAAACAACCGTAACATTTAGGTACGTGTGCGTATTTCGGCACGTTAGATAAAGTAATTTGTAGACAATTACTATCCAGTCCACGTGATATTACCAACCCAATGGGCAAATGTAATTGGAGATGTAAGCGATAGGAGTAATAATAATTAATGCGACATCATTACCTACCCTAACAACATTTCAAGTAGATATTCCCGGGTTGTTTCAATTTCCCTTAATGTGACAAAGCAAACGTATGTGTTGTAATATTTTTATATTCTCTTGCTTTATGCGAATCGGTTCAAACGCATTAGACCGCGTGATCATATTTATTCGCTTGTTGAATTTTATTTTGTTTTAGGCGGTGCCGCCTTTATTAAAATCTTTTTTTCACAAATTTAACATTATTAATAACCATCATAACATTTATTTGGTTTGGGATTTAATGGAAATTTAAAAAGAGGATATTTGTAACTTTGTACGTATTTATTTGGTCAAAACACAATCTTTCTTTGTTTTTGATTCAAAAATTGATAAGGTAATTTTATTTCTAATATAATGTACAAAGAAGAATTTTTATATTAAGAAAACGCTTCAAACTGATTGATAATATGAGAAATACTTCAGAACTCGCGCCCCGAAGAGAAACGTCAAGTAACATATGATAGGAAAAAAATATAAAAAAAAATTGTAAAAATCTCAAAATTTTGGAGGTTTAAATTTTGCACTTTGACCTTATTTATTTTTGTTACAAAATCTATTTTGCATGTTTTTTACTGCAGACTATTAGAAGAGGAATCAAAAAAGCTGTATCCCGAATGGTAACTATGTTTAATGTTATTTGAAGCTTTTATTGGCAAAGTTTTTGTATTTTTACTGAATAATTAGACATAAAAAAGGTCAGCTTTCAAAAAATAAATGTCAAAATTTTTTGATATTTTTTCCATATTTCCCCTATATTATATCACCTGGGAGTTTTTTCTGGGGCGCAAGTTCTGAAACATTCTGTATTAAGATTACGTCAGTTTTTTTGTCGTTTGAGTACATTTTGAATTCAAGAAAAAAAGTGGAGTTGACACGGTCAAATCAGGCCCGTAGCTAGTGAGGGGCCAAACTTTGTCTTTTTTGACAACTTTTTTTAGAAATAATAACGCATAAAATTATAATAGGTTTTTGAGTAATGACATCATTGTTATTTTGGTTTTAATGTCAACCGACATGTTTTATTACTGTTTTAGATAATACACATCGTTATCTTGCTGGTAAGCATAAATAAATTTAAAAAAAAGCAAGGAAATGCAAAAAAAGAAGAAAATAACACAAAAAAGTTATAGGACGCTTTATCTTCTTGTTCTTGCTTTATTTTATAAGAGGTGTTTGTTCTTTGTTTTTATTTCTTTGTGTTTAGCTTTCATATTAAGTGTTTTCATGCTAATTATTTAAAAAATATACACAATATAAACAATTGCTTCTTACAAAATAAAACAAAAACAAAAAATAAAACCTTTTGTGTTTAATTGTCAATATTTTTTAATTTTTTTAAATTAATTTTTTTTTCAAGTTTTAATTTTATTTTTCTATTTTTTTTTATTACCAGAAAAATAATAATGTGTGCTATTTAAAACAGTGAACAAAAATATCAGTTGTTATTAAATGTCGTCTCAACTCAAAAACGAATAACGTCATAAATGTCACTATTATGTCAAAATATAGCATTTAAAAAAATAAAATTGACCTGCTTAAAGATTTTTTTTTAAAAACTGCAGAACTCTTATAGCCCCACTAAAAATTTTGTG